AGGTGATCCTTAAAGAAAGGCTGGTTATATTTCAGGTTTGTTTATCTGAGAACACCTGGACAGGTCAACACAAACCAATGAAACAGTTCATAACATATTTCATTACAGTGTTGACAGATGGAAAATACAGCAGTATCATACTGCAGCTTTCAAATAATTATGATTATTAAACTATCGCACATATAAAAAAACAAGACAGGTCATAAATACTACACTAAATGGCAGAACTACGCTCTGCACACCACATTAAATAAAAACAAACAAACAAAAGAACAAACTATTAAAGTGTAAATTGTTTGCAAACTGCTCCGTCTCCAGCCGCTGTGTAGCCGAGTTAGTAGCATCTTAAGTTGTTTAGACGTGCGTTGTTCTTCAGTCTGTCAGGCATAAGGAACTACAGGCGTTAGCAGGGCATCAGGTGATGATCTGATTGGCAGTTTAGAGCCTGGCAGCAGAGTGGCGGGTGTGTTGGTTAGGTGCTGAATGGTGGGTATGTGAAGGCTGTCTCAGTTATGATGACGTGATTGGTTGCTCTCAAATCACATACAAGTTTTGGTTATGGGGACACTGACATTTCCAAATCGTACATTTGTCCTTTTCTGCAATTATTGGCCGTACATCGTTCAGAATTATGGTACAAATACGATAGTTATCGTACATCTGGCAACACTGTTGCATTAACACATTGTTGACTCCATGTCAGAGAGCTGTGGGAGAAACTTTACAAAGTTGCTTTACTGTGCGACTGTAAATGTACAGTTGTGGGGTACTGAGGTTAAGTTTTTGCTGCATTACTTTGTGCAAAATAAATATCAGGTCACTCCATTGAGCTGCCATAGTTACTATTCAAATTCAAATTATAACACAGAAATGATTAGATTGGTTAGTAATATGATGAATTTATACTATCAAGGATAACAAATGTAGTTTTAACTCCAGCAGGACAAACTTATTTTTCTAAAGTGATGAAGATAGAATCTAAAATATTTATAATGAATATGAAAATGTGATAGCCGGATAGCCCAGCGGTTATGTCGCACCCCCCTTGTACAGAGGCTGTAGTCCTCATCACAGCGGCCATGGGTTCGAATCCTTCTCAACCCTTTGCTGCATGTCGTCCCCCGCTCTCTCCTTCCAACATTTCCTGTCTCTTTTCAGCTGTCCTCTCTAATGATAGAAATATCTTTAAAAAAATCGTTCTGGCAGGCCGTCAACCAACGATCTTGAGGAGCCTAATAGAGCTCAAGAGCTCCCAGGAAAGTAGGTGGTTAGTGACTGAGATTTACAGATAGATACATGCAGTAATATGATGTACTGTATATACACACAGAGAGAGAGAGAGAGAGAGAGAGAGAGAGGAGCTCAAGGTGCCAGTTCCCCCGGTAGTCTAAGCCTATAGCAGCATAGCTAGGAGCTGGTCTACACCAGCACCAGCATTAACTATAAGATTTATCAAAAAGGAAAGTTTTAAGTCTATTCTTAAAAATACAGACTGTGTCTGCCTCCCGCACACACGTGCACACACGCACGCACACACGCACACACACACCAACCAAACCTGCTGCCATGAAGGTCACACCCGTTGACTGTATATCAATGGACCACACTTCTCAGTCTCCTTCTGTTCTAGTGAATTGAGGCCAGAATATCTTGGTGATGGGCCCTGACATTTTTTTGCTAATGATGTGATTTGGAGCCAAGACATACTCAGAACAGAGCTGGCTGGGTGAACCGCCATGACCTTTCAGCTTACTGCAACACACATCTAACTTCCTGATAAAAGGTCAAAGGTCACTCAGGTACAGTCCACAGCAGAACAGATTTTGTGTTGGTTTAAAGCGGACATAGTTATTTTACAGCGCTGCAGGAGCCTCATTTGTCAACATAGCTGTCAATCATTACATCCGTTTGTTTTTTTACATCAAATAACTATTAAAAACAGTACTATCCACATGGCTTATTGGTTGTGTTTCGTGCCCCATGTGCAGATGCTAAAGTCCTTGTTGCATCGGCTGTGGGTTCAAATCCGTCCCCGGCCCTTTGCTGCACATCATCCCTCACTCTCTCCTCCCAACATTTCCTGTGTCTCTTCGGCTGTCCTCTCTAATAAAGGCAAAAAAGGCCAAAAATATATATTTAAAAACATACTCCTACGATACTATTCATAAAGATGAACAATTGGACATAAATCATCATGATAATAACTTACCTTCATAACAGACTTGACCCATGTCCCACCTGTTAACATTGAGGAGGTGGGGGTTTGTGACCTTTACTGCAACCAGTCAGCAGGGGGAGCTCTAAATATTCTGGCTTCACTCCCAGGGAAGCTTTTTCTCCGTCCATCTTCATATACAGTCTATGTTACGACACACGTCTTGTGTTATTAAACAGGTGTGTGGTCAGCGTTAAGGCAGTACAAAGTAAATTATAAATACACAATAAGTGTGTTTATAAAACACAGACTGATATGATGTTAATATCTGAAATGTAAAATGACATCTTCGCTGATCACACTCAGATAATCCACTAAACTATTTCATCCGAACTACAGTTGGGGATAAAGAAATTATACTGGAACTATAAATTAGTTTTGACTTATTGAAATTACATTTGCATATTAAAAAATGTGTCTTGTCTTGGACTCAAATTATGAGCAGTAGAAAATGACATTTTGATAGATGTAAATGTCATATCCCTCATTGCAACCCGAGTCAGTTTGCCCTGCTGATGAAATATTAAAATATCATATCTTTCAATTAAAATTTTTTTGTTTTGTAAAGTGTCCTAACACTACAACTTTCTCTGATTAATCTGATCTGATTAATCTAAGGGGGAAACACAGGTCAGAAAGTTGAATGGGAGGAATAATAACAGAAACTGAGAACTACTAAGATTGATTGAGTTCATGATCTTAATTGAAACACAGCTGCTGAATTATCTCACTTACAATCGTCAACTAACACAAAGTTAACAGTTTGTTTTTTGTGTTCAGTGTCACATCATCTCAGAGTGATGAACGTCAACACACACACTCTTCCACACACACTCGGCCTTTCCCCTGTTGGATGTGATGTTAGTTGCTGTGAACATAATTTGCCTTTAGAAAGAGTTTTTTTTCCAATCTTGCTGCTATTTGATTCCTCTTCCATCTCTTCGCTCACTCTCTGTCAGTCTCATCCTCAAACTGCAGCAATCAGTGACGCTCAACGCTCCAAGGCTAAAGATGCTAATGGCCCAGATGGCTCGTGGGCCATCCCGAGTGTGAAAAGCTGAGCTATTATCTGAAGCTAATGGGGCAGACGTGGGCACAGAGGATGATACACACACTCTGCTAATGCAGTTCAATTCTTGCGTGTCACTTAGACAGTGTGCAGCCACTAGCTGATTATAGGAATCCAGTGTGTGTGTGTGTGTGTGTGTGTGTGTGTGTGTGTGTGTGTGTGTGTGTGTGTGTGTGTGTGTGTGTGTGTGTGTCTGCGCTTGTGTGTGTGTGTGTGTGTGTGTGTGTGTGTCTCTGTGCGCTGACCTGTGATGACTGACATTTGTCTCATTCAATACACCGTGTGCTGAACTACAGATTGAGCGGGGTTATATTCATGAAAGGATTTATAGAGCAGATTGTTCTTTAGATCATGAAGATCAGTCTTAAAAACACACAGAAATCTTCATTTTTTCCAAATATTTTAAACTGTGTTTAAACGACATGTGGCTGCAGCTCTCCATGGACAACAAACGGTATGCCTACAGAGGCCTGTGAGGACAAACATGCTGCAAACACACAAGATAACCCAGAAAAAAATGCTGCAAACTCAGTCATCACAACAGAGGTTTGAAATCAAACATAGCAAGACAACCTGAACTTTAAATAATAAAACCCGGATCAACACTTGAAAGAAGAGGGATTTGTCAAAGGACTACAGCTTAAATAAATATCTATACATGTAACAATTTCTCAAACAACTCAACAAATTTAAATAGAAAACTCTAAAACTCAAAACTGTGTGTAATCTGTTTGTTATGATATACAAAACATGGCAGTAGAAAAAGTGAACTTACTTAATTCTTATTTAGTCAAAAACAGAAAAGCAACTAAGACATTAACAATGTTCAAAGCATGTTAAACTATAAACAGTTATTTATTTATTATTCAAGCTTTGTCCAATTTTCTTTTTTAAGTTATAACTGTATATGAATCACATAGTTTACTGTATTTGTTCTCTGAATTTAATTGAATTTGTTTTATTTTTTCTATTAGAGTATGAATGGATCAGTCATGAATGAAGTTGGCTTGTTATTGGATGGTCGCTTGAACCGAGTGGTGTTATCTGTAGATAAATACTGCCCTCTGCTGGTCTGTGTTTGTCTGTGTTTTAAAATGCTTGGTATTAAAACATATTGAAATAAAAATGTGGAAAATCTTAAATTAAATCTTTGAATGGCTCCTTTATGTGATGGAGGTGTGTTTATATAATATCTCAGGGTTGACTGAGACTGTGGTGGAGGGGCTTGATGTGAGATCTTTTCGAGGACCAAAGAAACCCTGACTGGGAATGTTTAAAAGCCCGGATAAACTCTTAGCATTATTTTTGAAAGAACAGAGTAAGTCCCCTGATACCATGTAGCCTTAACTTTACCTGACTGTGTCTGTTGTGTTATGAGGTTATATTGAAATGTCATCTCACAGTTAGTCCTGTTATATGCAATGTGTTCTCATACTGGTAAAAAATAACCAGTGTCAGATACAGTTAAGTAAATGTATAAAGTTAGTTTATATTAAAGGGATGTAAGCATGTAAGTGTACTAATTAGCATTTTACCACTTACTGATTTACTAAAAAGAAATAAAAAGTTATGTGAAATGATTGAGGTGTAAATTCAGTTTTGTCTCAGATAATTATAACAGATTTCATCAGGTGGATGCACGTTTCATTACCACTACAATTATCAGTTTGAACATCAGCAGCATTTGATAAATACATTAAAACAGAACACTCAGCATCAAGCTTCACTCTTTTATTTGACAGATGTGTTGAATGTTACAGACCTGAACTCTAATAATCTGATCTGTGTGTCTATTTACACTAAATACTGTGTTATGGTGTAATTAAAACTTTACATTCATGCAGAAATATTTTAAAGAGTATGGACACCAATATTTAACTGTATTCTGCTGCTATATTAAACATTTAAAACAGGAGTTTCCTCCCTGACATGAGGTTTTTAAGAACATAAAGACGTGACTGTAGAAAAACTGCTCATGGGTTGGCGTTAAAACTATTTATATGTTGGGGCGCGCAGGTGGCACAGTGGTTGGGGCACGCGTCCCATGTGTTGAGACTCTCATCTCGAGCGGTAGGCCCGGGTTCACTTCCACCCGTGGCCCCTTTCTGCATGTCATTCCCCGCTCTCTCTCCCCGCTCTCTCTCCCTGGTTTCCATATATTCATAGCTTTAATGTGACATTCCAACCTTGAAACCCCCCACCTGATTGGAAAGGCTTTCTAACGTAGGACGCTGGGAGAAGATGCTGGCTTCTGTTGGTACCTACATGTGGATTAATGCTGTTGGACCCTCAGTGTTCTTTCCATGGATTGAAGGACAAACAAGAAGTGGCAACTGATGATTGTTTGGTATGTGACATAATAGGTCAGTTTGAAGAAGGTCCAATAGTAACTATCTGAAAGGGGAAATACCTCCACCTACTGTAGAGGAGTCAGACATACAGGTGCTTGTATACTGGGACAAGGACCGTAGAACACTTAAATGGAGTAATCACGCTATAACTGAAGCTCCACTTATCTGATAATGTAAACACGTTGAGCGTGAAAAGAGGCTATCTTTGTATTTGCTATGAAGGGATCCTGGACTCTGGAAGTCTGAGCCTAGGATCTCAGAATTGTGGTAATATTACCAGCTTACAACTAGGCTCAGTCCAAATATACCCCTTGCCCCTACCACTTAGCCTTACTCCTACGTATTGCGCATTCACATCTAGAGGTGGGGTGTCCCGTTTCTTCTTGAAGGGGTATTCCATTTTGTAGGGGGAAATTTCACCAGAACCCCTTGTAACTGTATTCCAAGGGGCAAGGAGACACTCGAAACAAGAGGAGGGGGTAAAGATTAGAAATGGGACTGAGCACGAGTCTCACTTTCAGATTTCCTCTTATTCAGCGGTGGATCAGTCCTAGACTGAACGACTTTGTTGTCATTCTGGCTGAATCTGGGAATCTACTTGATCTGGTTATTACTGTGCCTGGACATTGGACTCTGATGAGACCTGTATCGCAGACTCTGGTGTGGCAGTCTGGCTCTGAATCCCTGGAGTTCCTTTGACTGTATCCTGGAAACTGATGAGACGGGATGTTGGATTTCTGACTCGAGGATCTTGTGAATGTAGCTGGTTGGATATTGGTCTGTGGTGGTCTGAGAGCCCCTTTGGTTCAGTCCTGGACTCTGACAGACTTAGTGGTAGTCTTGGCTGAAGCTGGGACTCTGGCAGGTCTGGTTGTTGCTGTGTTTGGATGTTGGACTCTAAACATACTTTTCGTCTGGTCTTGCGAATGGTTCTTGGACTCTGGTGAGTCTGATGTTTTCTGAATCTGGTTCTTTAATGATCCTTGTGATTGTTTTGATGGGATCCAGGAATCTGATGTATTAATCTGGATCACAGACTCAGGTCTCTTGTGATTGGGGACCGGTTGGATGATGGTCTGTGGTGGGTCTGAAAGCTCCTGTGGTTCAGTCCTGGACTCTGATGGACTTGGTGGTGGTTCTGGTTGAACCATGGCCTCTGGAAGCTCTGGTTGTGGTTGTTGTTGTTGTTGTTGTTCAGGTATTTTAAAATCGGATGTGTCTTGTGCCTGAGACTCTGGAGTAACAGTTGGGCTCTGGATCCCTGATGGTCTTGGCGGTTTCCTTGATGGGACCCTGGTACTTGATGGATCTGAGTCCAGGATTTCAGACTTGTGGTTCCTGTGGTTGGACTGTGGCTGACTGTAGGACTCTGGTGAGACTGGTTGTTGTATCTTAGACTTTGTCTGTGGTAGATCATTATCATTCCTGGACTCTGACAGACTGAGTGGTGGTCCTGGCTGAAGTCTGGATTGTATCTGGTTGTTGGATTTTGTTGAGATTTGTTTTGTCTTGGACTCAGATTTGTTTGACTGGATCTGGTTCCTGATTGGTTCTTGTGTTTCTTCTAATGGATTCATCTGCTGGATTACAGGATCAGGCTCCTTGTGGTTGTGGATCAGCTGGATGGAGGTCTGTGGTGAATGAGACAGCTCTGACTCTGACAGACTTGGTTTAGTCCTGGACTCTGGCTGACATGGTGGTTGTCCTGGCTGAACCTGAGACTCTGTCAGATTTTCCTGTGCCTGGATGTTGAACTCTGAGGAGGCTTTTACTTGGGTCTTGGACTCTGATGCGTGTGCCTGGATCTGGTTCCTTAGTGGTTCTTTTCCTGGTATAGAAAGGATCCTGGACTCTGATGGGTCTGATGGTTGGGTTTTCGACTTCTGGCCTTTATGGTGTGACAGTGAGCGGCGGCATGTCTGTCCAGGTCGCTTTGATGGGATCCTGGACTGTGGTTGCTCTGAGGACTGGCGGCGTGAGTCTATGTGCAGTTGTCTCTGCAGCTCCTCAGCATTGTGGGCCAACATGATGCTGACCTTTCTCTGGTGGGCCAGAGCCTCATCCTTATCATTCAACTGCAGCACAAACACAAAATCAGACTCAAAGACGGACAAAAAGGAAAACACAAAGACAGTAACTGAAAGTCGGACACACAAAGTAAAAGACACAAAGTCAGAAACACAAAATCAGGAGCAAGGAGGAACAGAACTTTACAGAAACTCTGAAGTGTTTGTGACTGAATTTCCCACTGGGATAAATAAAGTATTTCTGATTCTGATTGCTGAAAGATTGAACAAATAAAGCTTAAGGAGTTCAGGTTGCATTTCAAGCTCATTACCTGACGGAAGTAACAGAATATGTTCATCTCAATGTTATAACACCCCCAATGATTCGATGCTTTTCTTTCTGCTGGCCATGTAGACACACTGAACCTAGATTTCCACTGTATGATATGAACTAGTTTCCTGAGGCCCCACCATAAGGATACAATACGACAGGATACCAGAGGATACAATATGATAAGAGAGAGTATATTATAATATATGATGCAACACCATAAGGAGCCTTAGGACAAGATACAATACAATTTAATATGATACGATAGGATAAGATTTGCTCTACGTATATTTATACATAGATCTGTAGATCTGTCAGAGGAGATCCTCACCAGGTCCAGCAGTTTGTAGAGAGTCTCTAACATTTCATCCGACATCTTCACCTCCAGACCTGACGGGAGTAATCCTCTCAACCTCTGACTTACACTGAGTCGAGGACTCTTGTTAGCACCTGAAGACAAGGACACTGACTATTTATAATGGGTAAAGTAAATGAGGGACTCAAATGAAATGTTTCAGGAACTATCATGATATATCTCTTTACATTACAGACGCCCCCCCTGAACACTGTGCAGACATCACACTGACCTTCAGCTCTGCAGTGATTCGATTTTAGAATGTTAGCTTCAGCGAGCATGAGGAAGTGTTCACTGCGTTTCTTCAGCTGCTGCTCGAAGGCGATACGAAATGCATCAGCAACCATCACTGCCTCCTCCCTCCTCAAACACTGAGCATCCAGCTGGAAAATACACATACACACCCAGTCACACAGATTTGAAATGTTTTAATAAAAATATTCGCAGCCAAGCAAAAACGACTTAAATAAATGATCTGCAAAACGGTCAGCATAAATGTCCAACAGCTTTCACTGTTACGATGTAAAACACTTTTTTTAAATATAAAGTTTTCATTTGAATAATGTGTTGTAGATTGAAATAAATCACTTTTGATTTTTTAAGGCCTTTTTAGCCAAAAGTGAAAATGAGCTTGGAAAAAGTGAGGTGAGGGTGTATGTCATTTTACCTCCTGCTGTAGCTGGATGAGCTGCTTTCTGCTGGCGGCTGCAGTCCGACTGCACGGACAAACTTCAGATACACCGACACACCTGCACGCCCCCAACACTGCCATCTGAAACAGAGAATGAGAGCGAGAACATCAATACTACTGCAACATCTTCTGCAGAGTACTACAACTTCATCTACTACAGATTACTTTGAAGTCTTGTCAGTTTCAGGTTAAGGTTTCTAAAACAAGTGAATTAACTCGAAATCCTTTAACTGTACTGATGTGTTCATTGTGTAACATCTGCATTCTGAAAGTTTCAGTGTAAACAGATTATTCACAACAATAAGAAGTCTGGATCAGGAGGGACAAAAACAGTTCTATTTCTTAATGCAGGGGTTTAATATGATATGGCTTCGTCTGTGCCATCCTGGCAGCTTCATAAAAATAATACAATTTATTTATATAACACTGTTCTTGATAGATGTGTTACGGCCCCAGCCACACTGTGTTTGTGACTGACCCTTGATTTGAAGTGTGTGTGTCTGTGTGTGTGTGTGTGTGTGTGTGTGTGTGTGTGTGTGTGTGTGTGTGTCTGTGTGTGTGTGTGTGTGTTTCCTCTGCTGCACCAGAGGAGGAGAGAAAGAGATGCCTCTGAGGTATTTGTTAGAAATCCTCTCAAACATCCTCTGATACATCTGACGATAAACACGTGTGTGTGTGTGTGTGTGTGTGTGTGTGTGTGTGTGTGTGTGTGTGTGTGTGTGTGTGTGTGTGTGTGTGTGTGTGTGTGTGTGTGTGTGTGTGTGTGTGTGTGTGTGTGTGTGTGTGTGTGTGTGTGTGTGTGTGTGTGTGTGTTGGTGAGTCAATCCTCCAGGCATGATTTCGTTCACCTGTGCTGCCTGCTGGAAAAGCTTGATTGGAACAAGGCAATAAACCAATCAGAGGACAGCCCTGCAGCCACACACCTTTAAGAAGCTTGGTCAGCCAACACTCAGGAGCGCAGCTGCGTTTGTTTTAAGCTTGCCGCAGTGCCTCTCATTGTCTGTCTCTGTGTCTGTGTCTGTGTCTGTGTCTGTGTCTGTGTCTGTTAAATGTCATTTGAAGAACTTGTTGTCTTGTGTCTTCTGTGTTCTGAGGCTCTCGTTTGGTGTTCGACTAGGCAGGTATTAGTATTTTTGTAGACACACACACACTTACATTAGTTTTGTGTTTGTTTAGAAAAACTAGGTTTAGGGGTGCTTTTCATTTGTTGTACAAGTTGGTTAGTTAGTGTAGTGAGGCTTTATTTTCATTTATTTCACTAATTACACTTAGTATGTAAAACATTTATTTAGAGCCCTTCTGTTTTATTATGTTTTTTATTTTTTTAGTAAGTCTGCTAATGTTAGCACCGCAAGCATTTGTAGTATTACGGAAGGCAGCAGCCAGCTAGTCCACCATGACGTTTGGGAGCGATCTAAGATCGCAGTGACTGTTTTCCAAGCCCAGAAGTCTCTGATATTTTCCCTACAAAGCAGCAAACATCCACGCTATTTTTTTTCCTCATCTTCTCAGTGACGTTGGTTTTATAACAGCTGATGAGCTAAAAGGGCGTCTGACTCTGTCAAACTAAATATGTTGCAGCCGAGAAACAAGCCTCATCCCGACTTTCCCTACATGTACCTCTTTACAGCTTTAATGGTATAAACAGTAATACTAGCATTAGTGTTCTCTCTCTCTCTTTGGCCCCCTCAGTCACTGTGATCGCATATGTGAGCTTGGGAACCTAGAAGTTTAATGTGTCATACACACTGGAATGGTTTTTGTGCGTTCTATGAGATATAATCCTGCCGGCAACACTGATTGTCAGCACAGGTCAGAGGGCACTCTCAGCCTAAAAGAGTGTTAATACATTTTTGACATGAAGAGGGGCCTGGTAATACAAAGCTGTAAAAGTCAACTATGAAATTTGACAAGAAAAAAAAACAAATCAATTTGAAAAGAAAGTTTAAGGCAGTGCAGGTAGGCTACTCACCTCCAGGATACCAGAGTCTCTGTCTAGGCTGTACTGTGGTTTGGTTTCTTGGTAAACTCTCTGCTCCTTTATATTCAACATGGACAGCAGCTCCAAACACTGCCGACTCAGAGCTGCATACAAACACAAAGTATTTTACTTATCACAGATATCACTCAATCAAATACACTTTCTGATAAAGACTGTAGGATGTGGTAGGAAGCTCTGGAAAGATCCAGTAAATCAAGTTTCCTGTTGTGTCTGTGGGTGACTTTGATTCCCACACTGACAGAGATCCTCAAAGGTGATACATTCATGTCTGGGTCACATCAAACTGATTATACATGATGCAACTTCTACCTGAGTTTTCTGCTCGCAGCTGCTGGATCTCACTCTCTCTCTGCTCCAGGTTTTCAGTCAGAGTCCGATTCTCACTCAAAACCCTGATCACAACAACAACAATCAGCACAACCACAAAAAGAAAAACCACACACACAAAAACAACCAACACAACAACAATCAGCACAACCACAAAAAGAAAAACCACACACACAAAAACAACCAACACAACAACAATCAGCACAACCACACCAACAAAAAACAGCACAACAACATTAATAACTACAAAAACAAAAACCAGCACAACCTCCAAAACAACAGAAACAACAACCAGCACAACCACCACAACAACAGAAACAACCACCACTAGTACAAACAAAAAACAACAACAGCAGAACCAGAGAAACCACATCAGTAACAGAAGAGAATCTGTTTAAAACAGCACAGTGGATAAAAGGAGTAAGGCCCCGTGTCAACCAAGCGCTGGCTGTGTGCTCGGTTTGCATGAAGCGTTTGAGCTGCGAGAAGGAAAATGCTGCACCTCCGTCCTGTCTCAATGACAACAGTTTGTTGACAACGGCCGCTGTATGACCGACACGGCTCCTTTACTTTTTACTGCATGTTTTATATTTGAGATCGTTTTTTACCCGATCAGACAGCGAGCAAAGTACAAGATACAATCTGTAGGAGGCTAAAACACAGGGAAAATCATACAATTTGAAAAGAGCGCCTGTGATGTCAAGCAGAGCGCTTGTAAAAAAGATGCTGGGCGCAGCGCTTTTCATCCAGGCGGCTGCTTTCTGCTGCGAACGCTCTCTACCCATTGAAAACAACTGAAAAAAGACGCTGGCGCCGAGAATAAAACGCTGGGTGGACACGGGGCCTTAATGTTACCTGTTGTACTGGTGCTCCCAGGACTGCTGACCCTTCTTCATCTGGACCTGACTGAAGCTGATCTCCCACTGCAGACTGTTCACCTCCTGAACAACATGGAAACATCATATGACACAGTGATTAGCATGTTTTTATTTAACAGTTTTATAATCTATTCATCATAGGACACCATTTAATAAACAGGGTTTTATAACATGCTGATGCTAAGTCACAGGATATGTATTGTTCTGTTCAGATTATGCAGCCCTCTTGGAGTCTCAGACAGAGTCCTTGAAAAGAAGGACCTAGTGGTTCTGCTGGCGGACTTGGACATCACATGGGCAATGATCGAGACACTTGGAGTGGGTGATCGGAGAAATTACCTGCCTGATCTACTCCTCAGAGGAGTTATGTTATTGGACTTTTGTGATAGTCATGGATCCACCATAACAAACACCATGTCCGACTTCGACCAAAGAGGGATTTTTAAGCATAAGCTGGAACACCTCAGTTCAAAATCGATGATGGACTCTGCTGTAGTATCATCAGGTCTGCAGCAGGTTGTCTTGGACACTTAGCTGGAGAAAGGAGCTGAGCTGTCAGCTGATCTCCACCTGGTGATCAGGTGGATCAGGTGGTGGGGGAGGCTGTCAAACAGACCTGATAAACTTAAACATGAAGTGATGGTAAGCTGGAAGTGTTCATATATTATGACGACTTCATGTCACAGCTGAGCAGCTGGGAACAGTCAGGATGTAAACACAGGACTTTCTTTATAACTCAGTATATTGTGGCATCACACCGGTGTTTCTGTTTGTCTTTGAGCACCAGGCAGTGATCAGTTGGTTCCTGCCTAAAACAAACAGACCCAGCCTTTGTTTGAGCAGCACACACTCACCTTCTCCAGGGCTTTGGCCTTCTCCTCACTCTTCTGCAGAACACTCTTGGTGTGACACGTGGCTTTGTCCAGAATGGCCTGAGAGAACACGAGCACCTTTAGTTAGTGCTCATATTTACACCATCAGTTCTGTGAAACTTGTACTGACTGTTCGGTTTTCACTCAGCTTTGAAGGACAGGTTCTATAGTAGTGATGAAGAGAAAACATGGGCATGATTGTGTTCTAAAGTGTCAAACTTCAGCAACACTCGGGACTTCAATTCAAACTTTTAAACTTGGGCCATATTTTTACATCTTTAGGAACTAAAGGACTAAAGGGTACAAAAGAAGTGTCCAATAGATTTGGTTTATCCTGCAGCAACCTCACAGAACAAGGGGAGTTAGTTGTTGGTCTAACTCCAACATGCTGCCTCAATCCACTGACTCAAATATTGTGTTGATACAGACTAAACATTTAAAACAACAAAAGTCACAATTACACAAACACACCATCAGATTGAGGCAGCAATAGACCAACAACTTCGTTTGTAATCTGGGAGGTTAAAGGTAGTCATTGTTTTTTTTTATCTGACCTACAGGAGTGTGGGGTGTAAGATGATGTGTTTCAGTGTGTGTGTTTCTTTACCTTCCCCTGTAAGATCTTCAGAGCTTTATATTTGCCTTCAAAGTATTGATGTGCCACCTCCAACTCACAGCACAGCACGTCTATCACCTGTGAACACAGCACCACTCACAGTCTGACACGCTGTACAATTTTAGCCAGATTCAAACCCGTTTTTTGAGCAGTACGACTACTTTGGAAGTCACGACTAATTTCATTCAGATCGCGCGTCGTTAGTCGTGCAGTCCACAGGGTGGGCGTGACGGCCGATCATGTTGTGGTCTGCTGCTCCAGACTAGACGGGTGATTTTCTGGTGTGTTTGAAATTTTGGTTGTAGGACTTCACACACTCACACAGTGAGAGCAGAGCCTCGAGCCAATTTCTGATTGTGCCGGCACAAACTGAAAGACAGCATCTGAAATCACCATGGCAACAGCAGGGACGCCTGTTTGATGTGTCTTGGTATTTGTTATGATTTAGCTGCTAGTTTGCTTGTTATTGTGGTCATGATGAGGGTGTGTGTGTGTGTGTGTGTGTGAGATAGAGTGAGAGCGTTTTTTCCAGCGTTTGTATTTGAGCCGTGCATAAGAGACAACTGAAGCACATATCGTACATCTGACTTCAACCTCCGTCTGTGGGTTTTCTATTGACATTGTGGATGACGATTTAAGTCGTACAGTTTGAGCTCTCAGGTCGTGCCGGACAATCAGGCGTGAGCTTTGGTAGTGTGTCTTAAACGATTCAGTTGTACAGTGTAAGCAGACATTCCACCACTAATGCGATACCGTCGTACAGATTACATCGGCCTTTAGTAGCCATAGTTTCTCTTGGTGGTCATACCTCAGTGGCTTCCTGCAGTCTGTATCTCAGCTCGTCTTTGGACAGATCAGCCAGGGACCCTGCAGAGACACAATCAGTCTGCTCATGTATCACAGAAAGATAAATGTGTGTGTTTTTTTTTAAATATCAGAGAAGGACCACTGATGGCCTAACGGTTATGTCAGGAGTGCGGAGGCCATAGTCCTCCAAGTGGGCGGCTCAGGGTTCAAATCCGACCTGCAGCTACTTTCATGCATGTCATTCCCCACTCTCTCACTCTCCCCACTTTCTCTATCCACTGTCCTGACTAAATAAAGGCAAAGGGCCAGCAAAAAAAAAATGTGTGTGTTTGTTTGTTTTGGAACTTTAAATCTGTTTTTTTCTTAAACCACACAGCTAAATGGTCCAGTCGGCTGACTAGTTTCTACACTATGGAGTCATTAGATGAGTCTATGACAGAAATTACATGACATGCAGGAAAGGAGCCACAGGTCAGATTCAAACCCGGGCCGCCTGCTTTGAGGACAAAAGTCTCTCTACACAGGGCACACAAACTAACCACTAGTGCGCTGGCACCCTGATACTGCAATACATTTTAGAAACCTGTTTATAACACCACTTGTTAACAAAGTAACAAACTGTTTTACAAACACGTTGTCAGCCTTTTGGTAGCGACACATTGCCACTGTATTTTTGCAATTGGAACACTGTGCAGGAGTTTGCCTACAACAACAACTAATGACCCAATATTTGGTGCTTAGGACTTCTAATTTTGTTGCTGTGGTATCAAACAGGCATCAATATAATTAGATTTTTCCTATCTAAGTTTATCATTCTGGCATCATGACTACCCTCGGACGTAAACTTTAAAAACAGTAGTAGGCCTACAGTATGTTTACCTCACTGTCTGATTAAGGTAGTCATTTTAAAAAAGAACAAAAAAATGGTCTCTATAATAAATATTAATTAAGATGATTGTGTTTTCATTTATCATTCAGTGTGTGTGTTTTATGTGAGATGGAAGATGAGGAAATCAGTTATTTGATGGTATACATATGTCTCTCAGGTGCTCTCACCTGAGCACTGCAGCTTCCAGCGGGCTCTCTGCAGGGTCTCTGTGCTCTTTAGTCCGTGGATCCATGTGTCCTCATCTGCCTGCCAGCTACTCCTGAGTCTGCCTGCTGTGCTCGGCGGCGTCTCTGAGGGTCCACTAAAGCTCTGACTCTTCATCCTTCTGGACCTGTGAGCAGCTCCGACCTCCATCCCGTCCCCCAGGTCTCCATCCAGCATGTCATCGTCCAGACTGCAGGCCCCGCCCACCGCCTGCATCTGAACCAGGTGTTAATATCAGGTCACCTTCAGCACAGCACAGCTCTGCTTAACCTGCAAACACAGACGATCTGAGTGAGCCCAAACACACAAAAACATTCAGACTTATCTTTAGTGGTCTGACCGGATTTTTTGTTTTGCCATTAAGAAATCATTCATTTGCATTCTCCTTGTTTTTTAAATGCTTTATTCATGCCTTAACAAAATATATGATATTGATATTGAATATCATATTTTCACTATATGGATCAAATGTACAGGATGTAAACAGTGTTTCTACTGTTCTGCATGTGTCACACAGAATGTGTGTGTCAAACACAACATCTCCCATGAAAACAAAACAGATGTTCTTTTCTTCATCAGACACTTTTACTGGCTGGGCTTCATCAGAATGACGTCAGTGTTTGTTAGTGTTGTATTACTCGATATTGGTCTTGGTCTCACAACAGGTCTCGAGAGAGCTCTTTTCAAAGGTCTTGGTCTCATCACAAACATTTTGAGTCTTGTCTCGTTCTCGGACTGGGCAGACTCAATACTTTAAATCAAGACCACCACTGATAGGTTTCTTTCTCGCCCCTTTCTAATAGAACAATAACTTCCATTAAACAGGACGAATAACTTCAATTCATCTGTAGTTTGGTTTGCCACCCTACTTACAGCTGCAACCTTCACAGTGTATCGGTCTTAATTAGTGTCAAGCCCCCTGCACACAAGATGATGATTTTTTATTGATAGTTATGGTCTCGGTCTTGTCTCGCTCTCACTCTGCCTTAGTCTTGACTCGGTCTCGATCCCTAAATGTCTTGGTCTTGACTCGGTCTCAGAGCACTCTGGTCTCAGGTATGTCTTGGTCTCTGTTAGTGAGCTCTAACGAGAGCATAAAGCCTGAACATTCAATGATTTGATTTTTCATCTTTGTCAGACAGTCTTTGTCTTGTGTTCATCACGCAGGTTGATATTGTGATGTATGAAAAATATTTAATTTATTGTTCAACACTACGATTTTATCATATTCTCATCAAACAGCAATATAATCATTTATATAGATTTAGCTACTGTGTTATCATTGAGCTGTTTCAGCATGTCACAGGAAGTGACATCCTCACTGTGTCTAATTTAAATTCTCATCTCTTTAATACCACTTGTCTTGATCACAGTTTTACTATTAGAGACATGATTCATTATAATAACTATTACTTTTGATTAAACTAAACCTCTGCTGAACACCCACTTTACGCACAATATATCCTTTTCATATCAGTATATACCTCATTAATTGTGTAGTCACGTGTTGTGTTGTTAAACCGGTAATTATTAAAAATGTTTTGTGAAATAATGTTTTTTTTTTTAACTTGTCAAAAACCACAGATTGTAAATAGCCTATTAAAATCCTTAAACAAAGCCCGACTCAGCCTTGCCAACATTACCACATTGTGTTTCATCACACTGTTTCATAAAGTGGACTTTCCCTTTAACGGTAATGATGACAGGTGTATAATGGAAACTTTACCTGTAGCCTACCTGAAGCAGTCACCTTTACAGTGTTAATCCTCGGTGTTTTTCATCCTCTACACACACACGCGGAAAAGGAAACACAAGCAAAATAGTTTGATAAACTGGTTTAAGTTTTAGCTCCGAAAACAGACCGAGAATGACGTCAACACGTCAGCCGTTTAATAATAAAAACTAAACTCGTCAGGATCCTGCAGCAGCCGCGCAGACTCGACACTTCCGCCTGCAGCGTCAAAATAAAATGTTTACAGATACCACATCCGCTCAGTACCTTCAAAATAAACCCCGCTGACATCAGAGATCCCGTTTGATACCACTGCAACAATAATAGAATATCTTATACATATCAGTGTCATTTACACAGTGCTCTCTCTCGGTAGCTTTTGGTTCAAAGTTTGACTGAAGATCTGACGGTTTTCTTGTGTTTTAAAGCTTCTCTAGTTTGTTATTAACAATCGTAAAAAGAAATAACCAAAATTGCGAAGTTTTAATACCACGTTTTTATAAAAAATGTATTTAAAAAAAAAAAAAGGTAAACAATTTATTACCAACGTAGGCTATCAAAAACCATATTAAAATATCAAAGTATCAGAAATGTATCAAAGAATCCAAGAGGTATCCAAACTTGGTCAAAGTATCAAATATATCAACAATTAAAGGAAGTGACATCATCAATTTAGTATTAACAATTGCAACTTAGAAATAACTCACTCATAGGGAGCAATACTCAGGGCAAACTACAAGTAATTATTAATATCATGTAACACATCTTATTGGAGCTGCAAATATTAAAGGAGATCATTTTTGTTGACTTTAATTTGACAGGAGCACAGTGACTCCCTTCAGAGTCAGAGTGAGCGTCACCAGAGGGAATATTCAAAGGAGCTTCAAGTGAACTGCTGAGTAAATATTGGATGAAGGTGTGTGAGAGGAAAACAAGATAACGTTCAGGTAAGGTTCACTCATTATTTTATTCACAGACTCATTCAGGTTTAAACAGAGTTCTCTTTAAATAAGACTAACATTTTCTGTGTTCAGCATTTATAAACAGCAGAGGTGTCAGATCAAGGCGTGTTTCTGCGCAATTACCTGTCGCAGGTGAAGCCATAATCACTCAGCAAAACAAAAAAAAGAAGAGAAAACACAAGTGCTGAATGTGCACAAACAAATAAATACTGACACATTTCAAAGAGCGGCTTCATGTGGAGCTACAGTCAGCCTCTAACAGACCACAGACCTGTTTGATCCTCAAACGACAACTGAAAGAGAATAACACCAGAAATACCAGAAAAGAGACTTAGAGACTGAATTCTGTGAGGGAGAAATAAAGAATTCAAACTTTTAACACTAACAAAGTCTTTCCTCATGAAAATAAAGTTTATTCACAGCACAAATATCTTCCTCCATACTGACTGATGACCTCAAACATGACAAATCACAGTGTGTGTGTGTGTGTGTGTTCAGTCACTGTTGTACTCCTCGATGAGCAGTTCCTCCTCCTCCAGGAGGACCTGATTACTCGTAGGTTTAGGCTGACTGGCTGACAGATCTTCATCACCATGACCCGCCTCTTTCTGCTTCTCCTCCTCGTCCTCCTCAGTGTCCAGCTGAGCCGGATCTTTGTCTGTCAGAGCCTCCAGTTTTAATCTGCGCACACACACACACACACACACACACGAAAGAAAAAAACTGAAAATTCTAATTATGACATGAGAAAGGAGGATATCGGTGCTCACGGTTGCCAGGAGTCACACACTGGGTGAAAGTCAGGTGACCTAGAGATGAGATTATTTTGTTATCAAACATTCAGAATTGTTTCAGCTGCTGGACTTTAAAGAATCTGATTAATTCCTGTTTTCTATCATCCTCTCCTGCTAACTCTGCTGTGAATAAAAGCTGATCGATTAAATCTTCTGGATATCTCTGTGACCCTAAACTTTTGAATCCAGGGGCATGATGGGTAGATAAATGTGTGCAGTACCTGCTGGGGCCCCTCCTCAGGGACATCTGACCCACGTCCTGAATGAAAGCGATTTGAGCTGAGACACAGAAAAACACAGAATATGAACAATAATGAACGTAACTCAGAAACTTAATTAACCAACACTCAGGTTTTTAATATAATAAAGATAATCCACATATAACAGGGTTGAAGGAACATAACTGCACATTCATTAACTTTACACAGTGAAAAGATGTTCTTCAGAAACAAAGGCATAACAAATATGAGATTGAAGAAGAAATGCCAAAAAAAGTCAAAAGTTCCAGAATTAAGTCAAACTGAACAGAATGTGACGTTTAAAGTCAAAATATCAACAGTAAAGTTTCAATGTTTGGTCCACGTTAAAGAAAGTATAAATAAAGTGAGACAGTTTTTTTTATTTTGTGCATTTTGAGAATTTTATCTTTACTGACAGAAAAAAAAACTTTTTTAGCTGATTTATTTTAATTATACCTTTCTGTTTCTTTTAAACACTAAGAGCAGCACACAGCAAAGCAACAAAACACAACACATGTCACCTAAAACCCATTACAACTTATGTGTGAGCATTTACGTGTGTGTGTGTGTGTGTGTGTGTGTGTGTGTGTGTGTGTGTGTGTGTGTGTGTGTGTTACCCTGGTTCCTCATGGGGTTGGTGAGTTTGGCCAGGTAAGGCAGCAGATGAGTCTGTAGACTGACAGCTGACAGGCAGAAACTCCTGAACAGAGACTGAGCAGTCACACCGTTCTCCCGGTGCTGAAAACAAACAAACAAACAAACAAACAAGAGTTTTTTTTACCGTTTTGACTGATTTGAATTGTTGTTGATACTGATGATGGGTGTGATGTGGGTTTTATTTGTACATGGATGTGTTTGTTTGTTTGTGTGATAGTTTGAACTTATTACTTCTTCTCTTAATCTCATTGTATCCTGTTATACAATGGTAATAAAGACTTTCAATTGTCGATGAATCAAAAAGATTGGAATGTTCAGTAAGTTGTTTATATATTACTGTGTATGATGGGAGTATTTTAAAGATATGGATAAATATGGACAGAGTGTCTCCATCTCCTCCTGTTGTACAAAGATGAGGCCAAACTATCCCCAGAGAAAAGATGCAGAAAAGATCGGTTTGGAAGAGCAGTATTGACGTCGTGCCCCTTCCTCTAACCAAACACACATTGAACTTGCTGATGAAAGGTCAAAGGTCCCTCAGGCGGGTACGGTCCACGGCAGAACAGATTCTTGTGTCGTTCAATGACGAAAGTTCAATGACTTTAAGTTGAAGGTAAGATCAAGCTAACTGACTCCTGTTATGGGCAAACTCTGGTGGGAGCTAATGATACCGTAATTGTGCTAGCATACGCACAACACAGAATAAGCTAGCAAATGCTAACATTAGCCACACTGGACCATTACTGTAGCTCCAGAGTGGATAGTTCTGTGGGTTTTTGTGCGGCGGTTGTTTCATTAAATGTTCAGTTTAGTTTTAACAACACAAATGTGGGCTCAAATAAAGAATTCATTTCATTGTTTGTGAGAGACTGATATGACAGCCGCAATAGAAAAATCAATATTCAAACGAGGGTTATAACACATGACAGAACTTTTAAGACCCCAACCGTCAAAATAACAGACAGGGTTTGTATGTGTGTGTGTGTGTGTGTGTATGTGTTAGTTACCTTCTTGTTGACCAGCAGCCAGTTGGGTTTGTGCAGCGGTCTGAAGCCCACTGAAACATGCTTAGAGTTAGAGTGAAGGAGCCCCCTGGTGGCCACTGAGCTCCCATAACTCCCCATGGTGCTGCGGCTCTGAAAATACAACAACAGTCACATATTTAATACAGAGGCAGTTCATTTTTTAATCAGCCAGTTGGGTTTGTGCAGCGGTCTGAAGCCCACTGAAACATGCTTAGAGTTAGAGTGAAGGAGCCCCCTGGTGGCCACTGAGCTCCCATAACTCCCCATGGTGCTGCGGCTCTGAAAATACAACAACAGTCACATATTTAATACAGAGGCAGTTCATTTTTTAATAAATGAATTCAAGTATCTAATCTGTACACTTTACATTGTACACTAAAATAACGTAAATAACCAAAATAAGAGTGAAACCAATGCAGAGTTCTATAACCTGTATTATTTCTAGCGTCCAGCAGGGCGTAAAAAGCGGTCTGATTTTATAGATATCTGTGATCAAATGGTCCTACTTGTCAGTTGATTTATTCCTTCTGCAAACATTTTCCTATATAGTTTATGGTCTCATAATCTAGTTTCATGTCTTCTTCAACACAGCACGATGTTCATTTAGTAAATGATGATCCCATTTAAAGTCAAATAGAGCAGAAAGCAAGGGCAGAGTTACAGGGGCTCCCTGAGATTGATAAGTTTCTACAACGGTAACTCGACAGAAGTCTTGCTCAGGGTTTGGTTGTATAGTTGGAAGAAAAAAAAATGTTGCAAAACCAATCCCCCTTCAGGGACACGTAAAGTTGAAAATGAAGAGGGAAACCTGGTGATAATTAAGTAAATTATGGTCCAATTTAAAGTCACACAGACCAAAAAGCAGGGAAGGATTTAAGGCGGGGCTACCTGTGATTGACAAGCTGTCGATCATGAAAGAGTTCAAACTATATGAACACTCCCTCTTATCCAAATATGGTCATTTAAAAAGGCTTTAAAGGGGGTCCATTAACAAGTGAGTGACATCATAGTGGCTATGTCCACTCCTTATATCCTTATACGTCTTTGATTTAAAAAAATAAATACAAAATTGTGTGTCCGGGTGTCATTAGATTTTTTAACGAACACTTTTTTACTCAGTTTAATCTTCAGTCCGAGTGCTTGCTATCATTTTGAAACGTGTTAAAGTACGCAGAAGATACAAATATTTGTCTTGTCATAAGTTTATTTGATTGTAGTTTGAAAACAACAGACACTTCAGCTTATTTTTACATATTCAGGTGAAAACACTGACCGTCCAATCAGCAGTGAGAAGGTCGGCGTCGGACAGGTACTCACTGGCCCGCTCCACATCCTCTAACTTGGAGAAGAAGTCCAGGTAGTTCTGGTGCAGGAACAGGTTAAAGAACTCTCCGGACATGTGAGAGCGCTCCACAACCAGCTGGATGACACACACACACACACACACACACACACACACACACACACACACACACACACACACACACACACACAGGTGTTTATTTGTCAGTTTCTTTTTTTACCTGATGAAGCTGTA